TAACTAGTTTTGTGATTATTTCCTCCTTTGTTTAATCACCTCTACTTCCTATACTTCATCATACTTACACACAAGCACAGATCCCTTTCTTAAAACTAATGACTTATGTTACTCTTCTAGCTCCTTATACAGATAAATAACTTTAAATAGAATGATCATAAGAAATATTAAGAGAAAGGGAGTGAAAAAAAAAAATCAAAGCAAATCGCCAGCAATGGTACCTTGCCTTCTCTTCTATTACATGACTGTATATATATTCATTCTATTTTTCTTTTTCACTGCAAATAATGGAGCCATTAATTTGTTATGTACGTGAAGGGAAATCAAGTGAGTTATGATCAAGCGGACTCAATATTGTTGGAGCCATGGGGAGGCGTTGGTGGATCGAAATGAAATTACATGCTGAAAAGTCCCATTAAAGAAATATTGATTGCCCATGGAGATTGTATAGACTCCATCATGTTCAGAACTGTTACTGAACAAGGTACTACCATCGACTCACCAAAGTTTGGTGGGGTTGGAGGTCGAAGAGTCACGGTAAGTCCAAAAAAATTATGGTCGAAGAGACAACATTGTTCTCAAGTTAAATTTGTGTCATGTCATAGCGATGGGCTTAATTTAAGTAAAAAAAGAGTAATTATCACGACCATTAAACCAGTTATATCACCTTATAGGTCATCTTAATATGATAGTGTTGCAACTTTTGCATTTTCAGTGTACACAGCGTAAAATATGTAGTTATGTAAGCATCTTTCAAGTCAAAGATATGGATGCACCTGTTGCTTCATATTTAAGTTTGCCTGTTCCTTTGCATTAAGAGGATTCAACTAAGTGTCTAAATTCTCTTTAGGTCCAAAGATTTCAAATCCTAATATGACATTCTTGCACTTTTCTGAATTCTTGTCAAAATTGTCGATTCTGCTACTTATCTAACTGATCTGTTATTTGCAATAACCTTAGGTCTTTATTATTGAGGCAACTCCATTGGAATATTTAACAGGTATCAAGGGAACATTTGGACATTGTGGCAGCCATTCGGTTATAAAATCTCTATGTTTTATAACTAATGCAAAGAATTATGGACCATTTGGTCTGAGGCTGAGGGAATCCCATTTTCACTTGTGATGAAAGAAGGTGTAGCTATTGTGGGATTTCACGGGCGTTGTGGAGTGTATCTTGATGCTATTGGTGTTTATTTGCAAAAACTTACTCCTCCCACTTTAGCAAAGGAACCTATGGTTGAAGACATTGAAATTCGTGAGGTATGTTGTGATTATTCCCTCCTTCTCTTAATCACCTCTACTTTTATTTCTTCACCTCATACTTCAGCAAATAAACCTGAAGCAAAAAAAGAAAATGAGGTAAATGAACCTATGGTTGAAGAAATTGAAATACATGACGTCTATACTACTTTTTCTCTTAATATCATGAATCGGATAAATTTTGTTTCTTGTTTGTTTTATTTTATTTCTTTCCGATTAATTGTGACTTTATATACTAAACCAACATATGCATTCCACGTGTCTGCACATAAATTTCTTTCACTTAATATGTATTCTTACGTTATTAAATCACTTAACCATTATAAGTTAGTATTTTTGGTACAAATACCGAGTACGAGCAAGTTTTTGCTATCCGGGATATGTGGCATTCACTATTTTATAACAAAGAATAGGAACTTATTGATAGAATTATAAACTTCTTATTGTAAGAATTAAAAAACAACTAAACATTATAAAGCTTATCAATCCTGATTAGTTATGATTTTCAAGAGGTTGTATTTATATGTTTGACAGTTACTTCTATTCATCTCTTCCTCGGAATGGTGAGAATAAATCCTCACTAAATCGTCAATCCCCCTTTTTAGTGCATAATGTAGTAAATTGAAGGAGGGGGGGGGGCGGGGGGGGCACCAGCTGAACATATTCTTTTAATGCAGTGGAACATATGCATAGTAAACCATTTTCTTGACATGTTTATTTTGGATACATAACTAGTCGCTCAAACTCTAAGAAAATAATATATAGAGAATTAAATGTCTCTCTTTGTGAGAATTTGATATAATGTTGGGGGTTGAACATATGCATAGTAAACCATTTTCTTGACATGGTTATTTTGGATACATAACTAGTTGCTCAAACTCTAAGAAAATAATATATAGAGAATTAACTGTCTTTCTTTGTGAGACTTTGATATAATGTTTGGTCTTTTGGCAGGTGTCATTTTCTACCCTTGGCAAGGACACTCTCAATGTTCTGGATTTCATAGAGAGCTTAAAGAATGAAGAAATTCAAAAAGTCGTTGACGTGGATCTAACTGAAAAGATGATATTGGAGATGGACTTCCTCCTTCTGAATCTCCATCATCTTTCCAAGTATTATGCTGAACAACGTTCTCCATTCATGACAGAATATGAGATTCTTCAGAATGTATGTGGCAGCATAAGACATTTCTACGAGTTGATAGTGAATGGTTGCGTTGGGCATGAGATTGTTGAATATGTCTTACCTCAGTTTCAACTAATGGCTGACAGAGTAGGACGTTTCCTATGGCATAATCAAATTGGTGGACACTTTCGACTCTTCAAGCTAGCACATCTATTCTTGGAGATTACTCCAACTCAGTTGGAGGTTATGCACATATGTCTTACAAATTTGAAAGCTTCAACATCATCAAAAGTTGGACACTTTATTAAGAAGCTCCTAGAAACCTCTCCGGATATTCTTAGAGAATATCTGATTCATCTACAAGAGCACATGATAAATGTTATTACCGCTAGCTCTCCAGGGGCTCGAAACATTCATATCATGATAGAGTTCCTATTAATCATTCTCACTGATGTGCCTAAGGACTTTATTTATAATGGCAAGTTGTTTAAATTCCTAGCACGTGTCGGAGCACTTACCAGGGACGTATCGGCTATTGCTCGCGACTTAGAAGAGAAATCAAAGAATGCAGAGAGTACCGATGAAACAAACAGTGCAACTCTAGGCTTTCTCGAAAATATTGAACTCCTGAAGAGAGAACTCAAAGATGTTTACTTGAAAGCCCCGAACTCATCTCAACTCTTCTTTTTCATGAGTGATGGACCCATGTTCATGCATCTTCTACTTAGACACTTAAATGATTTGCTCAATTCCAATGCTTATTTAGTTGATTTGATAAAGGAAGAAATCGGGCTGGTGAAAGAAAATTTAGAATTCATAAGATCATTCTTCGGGAATGTTGAGCAAGAATTGTATAAAGTTCTCTGGGCACGTATTTTAGATGTGGCATACGAGACAAAATATTTCATTGATTCAATTATTGTAAGAGACAATGGTCTCTTACATCTTGTTTTCTCACTTCCCTTTGCCATAGAAAAGATCAATCTTATCAAAGAAAGGGTCTCAAATTTATTTGAGAAGATTCCCAAGAACATGGGCGTCATTGTTGTGAACTCTCCCAACAAGCCAGTTGAGCGCAAGTCATCAATGCCTAGTAAAATAATCGTAGGTTTTAAAGAGGAGACATCCTTGATAATTAGGAAGCTCACCAGTGGACCAAAAACGCTAGATGTCATTTCGATCACTGGCATGCCCGGTTCGGGTAAAACTACATTGGCGTACAAAGTGTATAATGATAAGTCAGTTTCTGGTTATTTTGACATCCGTGCATGGTGTACAGTCGATCAAAAGTATGACGAGATGGGGTTATTGGAAAAACTTTTTAATCAAGTTGTTGGCTCAGCTTTGAAATTCGGTGAGAATATTGATGTTGTTGATAAGCTACGGAAACATTTGTTTGGAAAGAGGTATCTTATAGTCTTAGATGATTTGTGGGATATTGCAGCATGGGATGAGTTGACATGGCCTTTTCGTGAAGTTGAGAAAGGAAGTCGAATTATTTTGACGACTCGAGAAAAGAAAGTGGCTGTGCATGCACAACGCCACAGTGATCCTATTGACCTTCGATTGCTTAACCTAGAAGAAAGTTGGGAGTTATTAGAGAAAAAGGTCTTTGGAAAAGAAAGTTGCCCTGATGAACTACTGGATGTTGGAGAAGAGATAGTCCAAAACTGTAAACGGCTTCCTCTGGTTGTTGATTTGATTGCTGGAGTCATTGCAGGGAAGGAAAAAAAAAAAGGAGTGTGTGGCTTGAAGTTCGAAATAATTTGAATTCCTTTATTTTCCAGAAAGAAAAGGACGTGATGAAGATTATAGCATTAAGTTATGACCATTTACCCGATCCCTTAAAGTCGTGCTTGATTCACCTTGCGAGTTTTCCAAAGGACGAAGCAATTCCAGTCCGTAATTTGGAAGTTTTATGGCCTGCTGAAGGATTTTTGGAGCAGAGAGAGATGAAGAGTGTGGAAGAAGTGGTTGAGATTTATCTAGATAATTTAATTTCCAGTAGCTTGGTAATTTCTTTCAATGAAATAGGTGATGATCGGACTTGCCAAATTCATGATCTTGTGCATGACTTTTGTTTGATAAAAGCAAGAGAGGAAAAGTTGTTTGGCAAGATAAGTTCCAATTTAATTCCCGAAATTGGAATTAAATGAACTAGAATCTCTCAAAGTAACTTTTAAAAGTTCAAATTCAAATGATAGTGCGCTCTCTGTAGTGACAAATCGGCTTTGGGATTTTCACTTCCCTTCGAGTGTGAAAATGTTGTGTTTGTGTGAATTTCCTCTGACATCCGATTCGTTATCAACAATAGGAAGACTGTCCAATCTTGAAGAGTTGTACCTTAAAAGTGCATTCATCGAGGGGAAAGAATGGAACATGGCGGAGGAAGACACCTTCCAGAATCTCAAATGTTTGACATTGAAGCGAATGAATCTTGCTAAGTGGGAGGTTAGAGAGGAATCCTTTCCTGCGCTTGAGAAATTACGACTGCTGGACTGTCGTAAGCTTGAGCAGATTCCACCTAGTTTTGGGGATATTTGTTTCATTTAAAAGTATCGAATTAAGGAGTAGCCCTCAACTTGAAGAATCTGCTCTGAAGATTAAGCAAGATGTTGAAGATATGAATAGGGATATTCTGGTCCTTGTTTATAACTGATCAAGTCCTGAGCACTTTTACACCTGGGAAAATATGTGAGTATAGACGAATTTATTACCTCATTTTCATTATATGTGGCAGAGTTTGCTAGTGTAATTTTCTTTTGCAGAACGCATGTAAGGAATACATCCTCGGACGTCTAAATTGTGATGCATTATATTCTTCCCAGCTATTTCCGTTCTTTTCTTCATTTTGTGGGTAAATATATTCCAGCATTAGTTCTTTCAAATTGTTCTTGTATAATCTCCTTTCTTCTTCGTCATGGCTTGAATTGTTTGCATATCATATGTTACTCCTCAAGTACAGAAACATACATGGGATTGCTAACTCTGCGCAATGATGGGATAATATTCACTCAGATATTGAATAATTGTGATGCAGGCTGCAAGAATCAGCCCATCGATGCATTTGGAGTTGAGGCTGTTGTATCTTTGATCAAGATGTTTCAATAGGAGCTGCTGTACGATGTTTGGCCTCATGTGCAACAGTAAATGTTATTATAACGCATGGTATCCTATCACAAACTTCAGAAAAATGCTTAGTGTTCTGAGAAATACTATATACGATGTGAATTCACGTTACAAAGAAAGAGTAGATGCTGATGCAACTTCACCTGTAATGCAGAAAGTTCAAATTCTCCTATCTTTATACGTACCTCGGTGGCTGCAACAAGAAAAAGAAGTGCAGGTGGATGAATTTGCAATTAGATGCGGCTGTAGTTGCAGTTAGCTCTACATGTGTAGATAATTTTGCTCCGTCGAAGCTCACACTTTCATCCCTCCCAAATCGACAATGCCTTGATTGTTGTTCAATAGCCCGGCTCAACTGCTGTACTAGTTTTGGTGATGCTAAGCTTCGATAACACTCTGTCACAGACTCGCCAACTTTGGCGGCAAAAGCTAACTCATGATGTGAAAAGTTGTGAACTGTCCAGATATCTCTCTCCAATGTAGGCTACTCGGGTTGAAGCCATATGTTTTCTTTCGTTTTCGCTATGGCATCTTTTTTCATATTTCCTGTTCAAAGATAATCCAAGATTTTAAGTCTGTGAATGTAAAATACCGCCACAATGCTACATCTTTGATGTGTGCTAATGAGTTCAAGTGATTGTATAACCTGCAAGTGACATGCTTGAATATAGGCGTGTACAGTGACGAAAAAGTTGTGATGAATGCAACACAATGCCATTCTCCTAATATCTTTCACCAATTAACTCCCAAATACTGTAACTTTTACCTATTATATAGCCTTAATCCATATGTCCTTCGTTGCAAGCTGCTTCCATACTTGGCCAGTGCCTGTGGCAGCCACAATATTTTGTTCTCTATTGCCGTGGTATCTTTGGTTCGCGTAGATCTCAGAGCAGGCAAAATCATTTATAATATTAGAAAATAATGCATGATAGCTTGCTGATACTTTGAAGGGGGCAAGAGGTGTTTCAGCGAATAAAGCTTGCCTATGCAGTTCAGCACTACAACAACCTTTCAGGGGTAACACTACTTTGTCTAAACGAAGGAACTTTGTGAATTTCAGATGCAAGAGTTGTTCCACATAACATGTGATGATAGGCTATAATATAATTACGTATTTTAGTCGTTTATTACACTCTAATTTACTGCACTATAATTGAGTTTGAGCTTTAATCGCTAGTGCATGTCTTGCACTAACCGTGTGTTTTATGCCTTGTAGGAGTGATTCCGAGCTATATAGATGTTATGGAATGAATTCAAGTGATTTGGAACTTTGAAGTCTGAGTAAAAGTCCTAGGAATTAAGACGGGATCGTGTCAGGGGTCAACTTTGATAGTTAAAAACAAACGAAGACTCGAGTAGGCATATTGCGCACTGTCTAGTAAAATGCACATAACTTTTTGCTCAAAACTCCATACAATATATGGTTGGAAAGCTAAATCAAAGGGCTACAACTTTCATGTTTTACGTTTTTCCAAATTCCAAATGGAACAGGGTGGAAAACGCGGTCGAAACCGCGACCGTGGACCTGAGGCGGGCTGAGGCAGTATACCTGCCATATACCGCGTTCACACCGCGGTCGGATCGCGGCTGCGGCGTCCAGACCTGAAAAAATTGTCCTTTTTCGCGTAGGAGAAGGTATAACTGTTTGGTCCCGACCCTACTTGGTATATATACATGGAAAAATGGTATTTTAAGAGGTTGGACACACTTTTTACATAATTTAGACCTAAGGAGGGGAGGCGACCAATTTTTTACACGGATTCGACCTAAGGAGGCAGAGACACAATAGGAGCAAGGCGGGGAATTCTTCTACGAGTTTTTCCTTCCTCTTCCTATTTTTCATTGTTGGTTATGACTTTTAGTATTGTAGTTTTACATACTATTATGAATAGTTAATTTGTTATCTAGAGTTTTGATAGAACGGAAAAGGGTGTGATCCATCCCTCTACTATGGTAAATTGTTCAAAATTGTCCCCTGTTATACTATTGGGCCATAAAAGTCCATGCCGTCTTACTATCCTAACAAATCTGCCCTTAGTTAGACGGAAGTGCCACGTGGCAACCATCCGTGCCCTTTTTACATCTGGGCACATATGAGATGACCCGCTCCATGAAACCCACCAAACCTATAACCCGCGACCCGCCATTTATAAACCAAATAATACCCCAAACCCACAACTGGTCGACAAACCTTTTGGCTTAGTTATATTGTCCACTGGTCGACAAACCCATTAACGGATATAAAGTGGTACAAAGGAATATGTACAATCTCGTTGATGAAGAAACTATCACTTCAAAATCAGAAAACCAAAATTATAAACGCCAAAATCATCATTTTTTTTTCTTTGCACAAATTACTAGGAACAAAAAACAACTGAACTGCAATAGGCAATAGCTATGAGGCTAATTGTAACAACTACAGTGTTGTTCAGATTGTAACTTGTTGATCTGATGTTTTTAGAAGTTGGAATAGAAAACAAAAAGGAAATCAAGCCCAAGCCTATTTTTTGGAATGTGGTTTAGTTAGGGTGTTTCTGTAAGCACAACAACCAATGAGGTAAACCCATATGAGAATCACCAAAGTTATGATGAGAATGAGATTAGATTTTCTCCATTCTTTTCTGAGGTTTCCGCAGGAGCTAATAGCATAGAGGGTTTGATGGAGATGAAAGTAGGAGTATAAATTAGGGTTGGGGTTTAATTTGGGTTATAAATCGCTGGGTGTGGGTTTGGGGTACTATTTGATTTATAAATGGCGGGTCGCGGGTTATGGGTTTGGTGGTTTTCATGGAGCGGGTCGTCTCATATGTGCCCAGATGTAAAACGGGCACGGATGGATGCCACGTGGCACCTCCGTCTAACTAAGGGCAGATTTGTTAGGATAGTAAGACGGCAGGGACTTTTATGGCCCAATAGTATAACGGAGGACAATTTCAAACAATTTATTCTTGTTATGTTTTTATATAATTGAGCCATAGCTTTTCTCTATTTGTTCAACTACGTTTATATTGTGGTTGGTTGAAGAGCTCTCAATTGACTGTGCCTATTTAGTGTGTATTACTCGGGAGAGAGTGCATATTTAGGTAGCTGTTGAACAACATCACTCCCGACGTATGTGAGGAATCAATAACTAAGGGTTTAAAGGTGGGATTAGGGATAACGAAACCTTGGGTGCGGTCTAAGTGAGCTGTAATTAAAGCCAGCTAGCGTAACTCGGGAGTGTATGTCTAGTAAATTGTCGTAATTACTCGGGAGAGAATTACAACATGCAAAGCGCTCATGATCGGTAGAGAATACTTAGGCGAAATTATAGAAGGCATAGCGGGAAGGATTCTGACTATTGGGGAAATCATAACTCTAGACCTCCTTAATCTTTTCTCCAACCCGTAGTATCTTTAGTTGTTAATCTACTAAGTTAATTATTTAGTTAATTAGATATAAGAATCTTAATATTTATAACTTAGGAATTGTTCGAACTTGTCTTCTTAGCAATATTGAACAGTTGTAGCTAAGTCTTAGTTCTCTGTGGGATTCGACTCCAGACTTGTAAACCGAATTATATTTGCAGCGACCGCTTAGTCCTTTTTATAAGGCATAGTTGGACGTGATCAACATGTTTCATGCATGAGTGTTTGGAGTCCCTACATCGATTAGTTGTCATATGAAAGAACCTTTAGGAGGTGTTATCTTCTTCTGGATCAAGCTGGTTGAAAAGGATAAAAATCATAACCTTCTGCACATTCATTAGTTTTCATATGAACCGCCTTGAGGACGTATTTTATCTTTCCGTGTGTTTCACTTTAAAGTTTGAGAAATAAAGATACTTGCATAACTTTTTTTTTAATAAAGTTTACTTTTATAATAATTGTAATTTTTTTATAGGATACTTTCAAGCGAAGCTTGGAGGACTTCATTCAAAGTCGGCCAACTGATGATCAAGGTAGGCCAATTCAACCATCCCAAGAGGAGATCGTGGATATGTGGATTAAGGCAGCAGGTGGCGTGCATAAAGGGAGAGTCTACGGACTTGGATCAGAGCTTAGTCTCGATCGTCGTACTTCTAGATTGTCTGGTTCTTATTCATCCTCACATTGCTCGGTTGATCTAGATGAGTTTGAGGAATTGAATATGAAGGTAGGGAAGATTACTGAGTTGTATCTTCCAGAAAGGGCTGCAAGGGAAGAAGAGGCAAAGCGGAGGAAGGAAGAATATAGGCGAAGAGAGGAAGAGGAAAGGCAAAGGGAGGAACAAATGAGGCGAAAGGACGATGCATTAAGACTTGTCACTAGTGATGTTAAAACTCTAAGTCTCTGATAAACTCCATCTTTGCATTTCCTATGCCCCATTTTCTAGCATCTGATGATAACTAAGGAGTAGTTTCTTTTATTAGCTTGTCTTGGATGGTACATGGATGTTGAATATTGAATGTTGGATGATTAGTTGGATATTGATTATGAAATGGATTGGTTAGTTCTTGTTTATGAAATGAATTGGATTACATGTTGAATTTGGTATTTGAATATTTAATTGTATTTAGTCTTGTATTGTTGGTTGTACTTTCTATTTGGCAGGTGGTGTAGTTCTAAAAACAGATTTGGCCCTAAAAATAGTTTCCAGTTTTCCCACGGGTTTCCCATCGACTCCGTAGGAATTTTGGGCATATTTGTTTCCCACGACGTACTTGGGTAAAATAATAAAAAATATCTAAATTATTTTTAATACTTCCCACGAATTCGGAGGGAAACTTAAGAAAATTAAATTATTATATTTTTTTACTTTTCCCACGACGCTAGGTGACCCCACCAAGTTCTCGTGAAGCCCGTCAGTGGGAAACTTCTTGGGAATTACCCATGAATGTCCTGGGAAACTATTTTCCCACCGGCCATTTTCCCACTGGGCGACTCCCCTGGAAATGTCGTGGAAATATTGAGATTTCCCACAAATTTCCCACTGATTCTTCCGTGGGAAAAATGTGTATTTCTAGTAGTTATATAAAAGTTCAGCAAATGGAATTCCATTTGCATCATTTTACGAGCCATGACACAAACTAATGACTTGGTATATATTAGTTTTAAGAGACAATTACAACTAATGTTTCTCTCTTTTTGTCTGCGTGCTGTTTTTCTTTTTCTTTTTTATCAAAGGTGGTTTGAGCCAACCAGGATTTTTCTTTGCCTCAGCTGCACCCTTGGGTGCCATAGTCTACATGAAAGGGGCTGACCAATGTCACACCTCCTTTTTCGCTACTACATCCTCGAGAAGGGTATAATAAAAGGAGTTTTTTAATTAAAGGACAATCGAAACGGGATCCGTTTATTAAGAGATTCAGAGCCGCCACTTGGGAGATTTATGGTGTCCCAAGTCACCAATTTGAATCCTGAATCGAGGAAAGGGTTTGACTCTGTTTAACAGTTGCGAACCAGAAATCCGAGTAGGGAATTCTGTTAACCCGGGAGAAGGTGTTAGGCATTCCCGAGTTCCGTGGTTCTAGCACGGTCGCTCAACTGTCATATTTGGCTTAATTATCTGATTTTAATACATGTTTAGCCTATGGTGGAATTTTAGAATTGTTTAACCGCTTTTAATTGAATTTTTAAAGAAAGTGAACGTCGTTTGAAAACGTGTTTTTGGATCACGTCACATGAAATGCACCCGTATCCTCGACACATTTTATTCAACGTTTTGGGATTTGGATTTGGGTTGCATGAAATGCACACCGATATTTAGGAAAGTAAGTTTATTAAAAAGCACGCCTAAA